AAGATAATAAGATTTAACTATTCAAAACTTCTTCAAATATATACAATAGTCAATATACTTAAAAATACACATATGTAATAAAAACTATGCATACAATTTTATAATACATCAACTCTACTAGTTCTAATATTTTCTGTTTATGAATTATGAGTTACACAGGTGGCACCTTTTGCATGCGTTTTCACTAACCAATTCGCTCAGATCTTTTTTCCTTTTATTTGCTTTAAACCTTCTTAAGGAGGTCTCGTTTCTGTCCTTCATGCTCAATTTCGATCATAAAAATGGTCCAAAAAATCTGAGGGAATGCTTTCCGTATTTGACAGTTTTTACCCTTTGAACATGAAAGGCCGAGTTTCTCAGGTTTTAGTTCGAAGGCGATGGCGAGAAGAGTTCTAGTATATTGTAAGGCAGTAATCTATTCCTGATTTTGAACATAAAGATAGCGATATCTTGTAATGTCATGCTATATAAACTAGTCATTCCAGCGTGTGTAAGAAGGTCACTATAAGGAGAGACTCGATCTTTGAAGACTGTACGTAGACCTCTTTCATTAATTCTCTCTAGTTTGTTTCTGTCAATTGCACGAAAAACGTGCAGCACGAAGCTACAGTATGTGAGATGGGGTAGAACTGCAGTTTTATATATTCGTAGTTTTGCGTTCATCGGGATAAGATTCTTTAACCTTTGTAGAACACCAATCATTTTACTCGTCTTTATGCAGAGCTCTGATAGTTGTTGCGAGAAATTTAAGTCTTTATCTATAATTACGCATAGCAGTTTGAATGCATCGGTAAAGTTGATTCTGCAATCATCAATCACTAACTCCATTTGTTGCGTGTCCCTTGCTATAGCCACTGCTTGGTATTTGTTATAATTGCCTTGCAAAAAATTTGTTTTATACCACCCTCGATGTCTCTTCCCCATCTTTCTTAGCCATTTTCTTTGGAAGAATTTGGTATTTGACAGCTTATTCCGTGTTTCGTGATGACTTTAATATAACAAATGGTACATTCAAATGTAGTGCAATACTCCATAAATAAATTACTGATGGCTAGAAACTAAACAAGTAGACATTAGACATTGGATACCTTTCGTGGTATTTTGAGGCAAGCAATGTGAATGTCAACACGGGTGATGCTACTTGAAAGTCTAAAAATGCCAGCTCTCTTTCAAAACGAAATAAATGATATTCCCGAAGAATTCCATACTGAGTTTGCTAGGAAGTAAATAAACATACCATATGCAGAAACACATCCCTGTACAAACACAAACGACACAGCTGATTGTGTGATTTAATGAGTAACTAAACTGGGCTCGGTATTGCGTACAACCGCCATTGATCTCTCGCTCGCAGACTAGTAAGCTGACATGAGGTTTGCAAATATCTTCAATGTATGAAAGTACTGAATATCTAGAGCATGATAACTGGGAAAAACATGTATAGAACGTGGATGACCATGTAAAACCGTTAATGCGGAGTTACAGAACGACTAAATAACTTCACAGAGATATTCACCGATTACTTTATGACATCCCCTCCGTATTCAAACCCAGTCTGAGGCCAATCATTCTCTGTAAGAACATGTTTTATCATTCAATTTTTTAATTCAATCCCCATAAGAAGTCACATAACTTGGACAATCTTACTGCACGCGAGTTTTGAAGGAAGAGTGTCCCAGGGTTCTGATCTTTCTTCCCCACCCGTGACGCAATATTAGCCGCTGACATGGTTTTTCTGAGCAGCGGTGCTACTGGGTCAAAACACGGTATAAAACTTTTTTTTCAAGGTGAATTTGAGCCCAAAGTCTTGAATCACTTTATTGACGGCAGACATCATTTGATTTCACCGATTTATTTGAGTCAATCTTATTACAGGACTCCTTCCGACATCAGATTAAATTGCTCTCATTTGATTGTGTACGCGCCTGTACAAGAGCGTCATCGCAGAATTATCGCCGATGACAACAGCTTTGATGTAGATTTGTTCTCAAGACTTAAACCGTTCGATTTTCTTTTCATCGACAACGTGAAAAAAACGTGTTGTAAAAATTTTAATGAAGAAATAGATGGGACCGACCCTTCGTGCTCTCTTTCGAGTGAAGATTAAAAAATTTTTTTATAATATGTGGATATTATAAAATGAAGAGTTATTGCGTTAAACAGAGAAAAAAGACTGAGTCTGTGCCTGGAAGTGAGAGGCGTGAGATTGCGAAAAACGGTCGACCAATGATCAAATCAACATGTACAGAGTGTGGAATCACAAAAGTGTCTTTTGCTGCAGGAAAGGGAGGAAAAAAAAACAACCGCGGGTCATTGAACGGGGGTTCGTTATTTGATGTAGGAAAGAGCTATTCTTTGGGCGAGATGGCGTTGAAAGGATTGGCAAACATGGCACAGCAAGGCGTTGCGAGAGCTGTCAAATCGGATTTTGCAAAGAACAAATTCAAAAAGACAGCCGATAAATATGTTAACCAGGTCATTGACAGTTTTAGCAATGATTTGAGTAAAAAGATAAGTGGAGGAAATGTTTACGATGTTAATCAAGCCGATGTCAATCGAGTCTTGCCGATGTCAATGTATTCCCCCGACGGCGTCAATGATCCAACAAACCCTCTTTATGCAAATCCGCTTTATGAAGGTGGATCATTTGATATTCACAAAGCCATTGGAAAACTACCGAAACCGAAATCCGGTTGGACTCTTCCAGGCCACAAATACACGGGACCGTACAATAATCTTGAGCAACAGGTTCGATACGATCCGAATACAGGAAAGATTCTCGAGACTTTTGATAAGCCGACGGGCCCGACCGATGCTGTCGCCATGCAACACGATGTTGATTACAGTGTTTGTGCAAACAAAAAGAATCCAAAACAATGCAAAAATGCAGCCGACCGCAAGATGGTCAAAGCTCTCGATGAGATTCCATTTTCTGAAAGGCAGTGGGGCCATTGGGCCGCAAGAAACATTATCAACACAAAGCAAAAGTTGGGTTTGGGAATAAAAAAAAAAAAAGACCAATTAGAGATGCAGGGGAGCGCTTCGAAGGGGTGGCAAGAAGAATTGGCAGACGAGTTGCACAAACCGGTGAGACGAAATTTTAGAAAACGGCGCGTTATTGTCAACGGAATCGATGAGATTTGGTGCTCCGATTTGGTAGAGATGCAAAAGTTTGCAAAGTGGAATAAGGGCTATCGTTATCTGTTGATGGTTTTGGATGTTTTCAGCAAATACGGTTGGATCGTTCCGTTGAAAAATAAAAAGGGTGAGAGTGTGGCGGATGGGTTCGAGAAAATATTTACCGAGGGTCGGATACCGAAGAGGCTCTGGGTTGATAAAGGATCGGAGTATTACAACAGCCATGTCAAAGATTTGATGAAATCCAAAGGTGTTGTGATGTATTCGATAGAGAATGAGGAAAAATCGTCTGTCTGTGAGAGGTGGAATCGGACGATCAAAACGGATATGTGGAAGTAATTTACCATTCAAAACAATACACAATATCTCGATATTCTGCCAAAGATTGTCGAAAAGTACAACAATCGAAAACATAGATCGATCGGTATGACGCCGACAGAGGCTTCAAAGAAAAAGAATGAGAACGCTGTCTTTCTAAATCTCTATTCCAAAGAGCTTGTCCTCTGGATCTCTCCTACAAGGGGTAAAACCCTCGTGCTCCCCTTGAGGCCAAAGCTTGTGGTCGGCGATCACGTTCGAATTTCCAAATTCAAACGAAAAGTGTTTGATAAAGGATTCACTCCGAATTGGACAGAAGAGATTTTCGTCGTTGATGAGGTTCAATATTCCAACCCGATCACTTACAAGTTGAAGGATCTGCTCGGAGAAGAGATCAAAGGCTCTTTTTACGAACAAGAAATGTTGAGAGCAAAGCAAGAGGTTTTCCGCATTGAAAAGGTTATTCGAAAGAGTAAAGGAAAAGCTCTTGTAAAGTGGAGTGGTTATCCAGAAAAATTCAATTCATGGATCGATGCAAAAGAACTTCAAAAGATTTAAAGAGAGAAAAAAATTATTAAATAAAATATTTACAAAGATAAAATGAATGATATTACCGAGATTACTCAAGACCTTAACGATTTAACAAAAATTGCACTTCGCAAACAAGCAAAGAATATGGGGCTAAAAAGATTTCAAAATCTCAAAAAAGCACAACTCATAGAGTTGATCAAAAACCCACCACCCGACGATCTTGATTCAGTTTCAAGACCTGCGCTGTTAGAAAGGGTGAAAGATATCGGTTTGGTGGGACGTTATTTACTAAAGAAAAAAGAATTGATTGATTACATCAGAAACCCTCCCAATAAAATTCCAGTAAAAAAAAGAGCTGCAAAGAGAAAAGTAATACTTCGAGAGATTCGTGAAAATTGTGACGAAGCGTTCGAAGAAAAAGAATTTGTTTTTCCCTCAATGTATGCTACCGCAAAACATTTTAACATAAACCCTGGAAAACTTGGCGCAAAGTTGCTTGGTAAAAAAGAAGAGCTGAAGAAAACAATAGTCATCAATGGTGTGAAATATATAATTAGTTTTGAATAACTAATCAATCTACCCTTTGAAGTTTATAATCTATAATCCTGCTGGGTTATAGATTAATCAATAAAAATTATTTCATAAATCTTATAATGCTCCGGTGCATATGTGTCCACTAAGTTCAAAAGAATGATTCGCTTGTCATCATTGGCAGACAAGGCGACTTTGTTGATCTCTTCCATAAATATATCATGCTTTCGACTTCTGAGGGTATTCATTTTACGATGTTGGTTTTCACCACCGAATAAACATTCTTTATAGTCGTCCAAGCAGATAGTGGTCTCTACCACCTTTTGTTTCACACCTTTGCATTTTTTCTTTTCCTCTCCATCATCAAACATTTTGTAGCTGTAAAGCTTCGCTCTCAGACCTACAAACTCTTCAATGATCTTTCCCCCAGCTTCATCCTTGAACATTCCAATAACTTTCTTGTTCACACCGGTCGGTATTCCAGAAGGATGATCTTTCGGAAAGTTGCTCGTATCGAACAGTTTGTGCACATCTGGTTTTATATCTTGGTAAAAATCATCGGTGTGAATCTCATAGCATAGACTGTCTGTGTCGGTCATGAGAGGCTTTGCTCTGTCTTCATATTTGGGTTTGATGTAATTGTAATGAAAGTCATACATGTGCTTCTTGCTGAGATCGAGAATGCACATTCCAAGATAGACGGGTTTATTGAAGATGATTTGTGTCTTTCTCATATGAAACGCGCAGAGATTCTCGGAGAATATGGTGCGATGTTTGAAGTTCACTTTATTTACCAACTTCTTCGCCTTTTCTTCAGAGTTGACAAGCCTCACATCAACTCGTTTCCGAATGTTCTCCATCGTCTTACCGTATACAGAATTGTTCATGCGTTTGAAAAAATCTTTCTCAAAATCGGTATCAGCCTTGGCTCTCCTCTCTGTATTCAAATCAATGTACGGTTTCATCCAAGGACTCTCTTCAAACTTGATGATGCGGTGAATCTTTCCGATCTTCATTCCAAGACACATGTAAAACTTCAGAGTTTCGTGATGAATGACATACTTTTCCTTTCCACCCAAGGTGCAGAGCAGCTTTTTCACTTTATTAACCCTCAAGTTTTCAGGAGCGAGAGGGTAGTCATTGAAGTAATCGTGTAGTTCTTTCTCAATGGGGAGTATATCAACCTCAAGAACGCATGGAAAATCTTTCCATTCGTTAAAATCTTTCTCATCTACCCATTCAAAACCGTGTGTCGGCAGATTTTCACACATTGCCCAACCGTAGAGGTTGTTTGCATCGAGATATGCGATAAACTTTGAAAGTTGCTCGGGGTCAAATTTCTCTCCCATGTATATGTTGTTGGCCTTTGAATATCGTGTCGGAATCATTGAGATACCACCACGAATACCCTTTTCAAACATGTGTAACATGTTGACATCACTCAACAACTCAAGACTTACTTTTGTTGTCTTGAGGCAAGCATCCCAAGACAACCCCGGTGCAGTGTAATACCAACAGGGATCAAGGCCGTAAATCCCTTTGCAAACCTTTCTAAAGTTTTCAAACACATCGGCAAGCAAAAGAACATCACTTTGATTGTAAAGATTGTGATAATCTCGCATCGTCTTCATGCCCCATTCTTTCCACACTTTCAACACATGAGCATAGCCCTCTTCAGAGATTCCCTCACCCGATAACACAGAGAAGAAAGCTTCCCTCGGCGGAACACCAGTCTCCATTAGCTTGTGGATAGAATCCAACCATTCATAAGGATATTCACCCTTTCTCATTAACAGTTAAAAGTTTCTCTCCACTGTAATATTTTCCTATAATTTGAAAAAAAGACTCACCCTCTTTGGCAAGATTCTTGACAAGATCGTCAAGCTTCCCAGGCATAAATTTAACACTATCTATGAACCTCAACTGCCTCTTTATCGGTATGTCTTTTTTAACTGTTTTTTCACCATTGAATCCAGGATTATTCTCTTTTATGAGTTTCAACAACTCTTCTTTTTTGAGTTTTGAAAAATTGGAAAGACCGAGTAATTTTGCCGTTTCTTTTAATTCTTCGTTGGTCATCGGCCCCACTTCTTTTTTTGTAAACTTGCCAACCACAATGTGTTTTGTGAAGCTGATATATTTTTCTTCATTGTTTGGTATGCAATCAATGTCACCCTCTGTAACTCCGAGGTTTCGGATAAAGAGATGTGCATCGTAGTTTGCCAAATTGTGAAAGACAACGGGAATGAATTTTGGTTGTCGGGCTAACAGGTTGCATTTGTTATGTGCAGCTCCTCGAAATTTGCCGGTGTAATGACAATGATCGCAAACCTTCTTATAGTCACAATGCTCATCATTGAAAGCCCCTTCACACAACCAACAACAAGTTGCATTTTCAAAGATCTCAGCATCGCTGTCTGTGAAGATCATCTTTTTTGGAGGATGATTTTTGTAAATGGACTTAACCTCCTCTTCAAGCATGTTGACAAATATCTGTGCAACATCTTCATCCTCAGACTTTGCTGTGTATTCAACCTTTTTCGAATATCGATCATCAAATGAACATTTGATGTAGTAGCAAAAACTCACCGGGATATGCAGATGCTTTTTCTCGGTGTAACAATTTTCAGGATACGGTTGAACGGTGTGGAGAGGCTTGATGATCGATTCAAAGTCGGCATAGATGACAAACGGCACATCTATCTTTCTGTGGTAGTTTTTGAAGAAGAGAAAAGATCCCTTTTCAGGCATAATTTCTCTCACAGCCTCATGTTCTCGACACAACTCATCGTGTTTATCAAGAACTTTCTGAGAACCGAAATAATTTAGACATCTCCTGCAGATAAACTTCTTATGCCCATCTTTTGACAAATCACTCGATAAGAGTCGGCTCATAGATTTGATGAGACAGTAATGTTTTTTATCACCTTCAGCAATCAAAAGAAGATCGATGTGTGTATTGATCTTCTCGATCTTGCTCACTCTAAAGGGCTCAAATTTCCCTTCATAACTGAAAACGTTGATAGCGATACCCGGATTCAACGTTTCAAAGCGGCGAATATCTTTCACATCCATCGGAAACTTGATTCCATTCCATTTTAATTTTTCCGCCTGCTTTCTCAAAATCTTTGTGATACGCTCAGCATGACTCTTAACAGGATTCAAAGCTCTCGTAACACACCACTTGAAACATTCAGCATCTTCATTCTTCATGTTTACAATGGCTTTCTTAGCTGCGAGCTCTGGTGGCAGTTTAATGTTTGAAGATCCTTTCAGAGGGGTGTATTTCGCCGTATGCAAATCCAACCCCACAATCGAATCTAAAGTCCAACCACTTCCCTCTCTTGTCCACTTTGCCATGCTCTCCATCATTTTAACGATACTTCTGTTATAAATCTCTTCTCGGTCGGTTTCTTGAAAGATAATCGATTGGTAAGAATGAAAATACACAAACTGTATCTCAGTCTCACCAGTCGCAATGTTTGTCTTTGCCATATTACACCTCAAAACGAACTCTATCTTGATATTTTTCTGTGTTAACAGAAAGTTGATAACGGGCGGTTTTACAGCTTGAAAAAAGTCTATCGGTCCATAACCCTCTACCCCATCAGTCGTATAATGATTTGTAAAGCCTTTCAATGAAGTCATGCTCTCAACAAGATTGAATTGGTGTTGATCTGTTTTTTCATTGAGTTTGTTGATGCGTGTTTTAAAATCTTTCAACTTGCCGTCAACCACAGCTCGTGGTGCAACCAACCCCTTTAACCATTTTCCCCAATCTTCAACCTTTTTCTTTCCCCAGTCAACAACATCTTCAATCTTTTTTCTCAGATTGTTTTCAGTATTTTGCTGTTTAGGTTCGTTTGATTCTTCACTCTGGTTTGAATAACCCAGTGTTCTTTGGAGTGTATTCCAAAGACGGTTTGCTATTGATGCCATTTTATCTTTGCAAAGATTTTTTTTATATTTAATAATTTTTTTTATCTTCTTAGATCAATTTTTTTTATTAAATGTGTTAAACGAGAGGGTAAACTTCGAGAAATTATCCCGCACACCCCGCGCAAGCGCGAAGTGCAATCTCTCGAAGTCTCCTACAAGGGGCAAACCCCTCGTGCTCTCCTTATTTAGTCAGTATTTATTTTATTTATGCATAACCAAACGTTTGACTAAAATATGTGAAAATTTGATTGTCATTCCAAAATGGATTAGAATCGGCATTAGATTTTTTCGAAGATTTTGAAAATGTTTAAAAAATTTCTTGGACAAAATCATTTTGTCCGAGATTTGGGGTATTTGCAACTACTCCTATGTTGATACATTTTCCATAGATTGGAGCAATTTTAACTTTTTTGCATTCCCACCTTTCAGTATGATACCAATTGCAAGGTGCGTACAAAACATAATGCAGGGCAAGGCAAAGGGAATATTGCTGGTCTCTGTGTGGCCAACTTAGTCTTGGTTCCCGGCCCCTTGTTCTTCAACTACTATACAGCCAACCATGGATTTTCAAACCATCACCAAACCTACTACATCATGCCCACCTCAGGGAGCCACACCCTCTACACAAGAGCCTGCACCTGATGGTCCGTCCTTTATCAGGAACACCTTTTCACAGCAAGACCTTCCTCCAGACATTACCAACGTCATCATGGCTTCCTGGAGAAAAGGGACTCAAAACCAGTACAAAACCTATGTGGAAAAATGGCTGGCATTTTGTTGTCAAAGGAAAATGAATCACGGTTCTCCAAAGATAAGCGAAGCTCTTCAATTTCTGAGGTATTTATACAATCAAGGACTAAGTTATTCCACAATAAACACTGCAGGATCCGTATTTTCATTGATCCTAAATAGTGAAGGCATCAAACCCTTTGGCTCCCATCCACTGGTTACCCGGTTCCTAAAGGGAATATACGAGACACGTAAACCACAACCCAAATACAAAACCATTTGGGATGTGGCTACAGTACTAATAGATACCTCAAGACGCTACAGCCATTAGAACAGCTTTCTTTAAAGGAATTAACACTGAAGCTACTAATGCTACTCTTGTTAGCTACGGGGCAACGAGGACAGTCCATCTATCTGTTGAGCCTGGATGGCATGCACATGTCATCACAGTCATGTAAATTTGAACTCTCAGAACACACTAAGACCAGCAAACCCAATAAGAGAGAAAACAGCATTGATATAAGCAGTTGTCAACCAGATAATACCCTCTGCCCCCTACTCACCTTGAAAGAGTACCTTAAGTGAACAGCGCCTCTGAGAAGCACTGAGAGAAAACTGTTTGTCAGCTTCATACAGCCACATAAAGGGGTATCTAGAGACACAATATCTAGACGGGCTAAGACCGGACTTAATTTAGCAGGGATTGACACAAGCCAATTTACAGCCCACACCACTAGAGCAGCTACTCCATCCAAAGCAAAAGAGAGAGATTTCCCTCTGGATGTTATACTACCGACTGCTGGATGGGGGTCAGCGGCTACTTTTCAAAAGTTTTATCACAAACCAATCGTTCAACAATCTACTTTAGCTAACACAGCACTTACATTATAGCTAAAATCGCTTTTATAACCAGATTGACCCTATGGTATAGGGTTGTACGTTAATCAAGTTAAAAACACATGAAGCCTTAAGACTTCAGTATTTAAACATATTTGTTCATGTTGCTGTTGACTAGAAGACAATGTTTTGCACTGCTTATGCCAGAGCAATGATTGTATTCACTATTACATGATACACATGGACAGACTAACTACATCGAGTTATAAGGCTGAATAGAATTTGTTAATTATAATAATGTTATTATACATGTGTGGCTATATCATGGTTGGTGCGGCTCTGTCAGAGCTTTAAAGTCTCATAGGATCTCCTAGCCTCCGGTCATGTGATAGAATTGGATAATTAAACGAGACTTACCTGTAAGTTGAAGTTTCATTGAGATTCCATCACATGATCAAGGAGGCAGGAGATAACATCATGCCCACCCATGCTCACCCATGCTCACGCATTACTGATTACGTCTATGGTTAGCACACTAACCTGTTCTATCATGACATAATTCTGATACACCCACATTCTTTGAATAATGAGTTGCGCATGCGCTGTGCTATCTCATGTTATCTCCTGCCTCCTGGGTCATGTGATAGAATCTCAATCAAACCTCAACTTACAGGTAAGCCTCGTTGAATTTTCCAATTTTGTGGCGGAACTCAAAATTATCACGCAATCGCGTTACGTTATGAAATTCAAAATTTTTGCGAGAGAAATTTAAGTTGTGTCTCTTTTTCCTTAGTTTGCTTTGTCAATCACCCACTTTTCCTTCGTTTTCCCGAGGAATTTTTGGATTTTGTGAAATCCATCGTAAATTAGATTTCCCTGTTTTGCGAAATGATCTTTCCCGCGAATTGAAAAGGCGTTCTTTGTCACAAGACTTGGCGAGAGGTTCCATTCATTGACACGCGCTTGAAGTGCGAAAACTGTGAATTTCCTTGAAGGCCAAAAGCTCGATGTTCGTTTCTACGGGAGTTACCACAGACTACTTTAATGAATTGATAGGGTATGTAGAGTTGTTGGATTCTCATGAAAATTGGCTAGAATGTTCAACAGATATTAGCGCATCAAAGCGTGTAAGGCTATTTCCAAATTCGAAATACTTATCTCATGACGTCCCGGAGCGTGGCTACAACCGCAATATTTACTATTGTCCAACTTCAAAAGAGATTTTTTTAGGAAT